ACCGATAATCCTGCCTTTTGTCATTAAAGAGTCTGAGACAATAACAATCTTAAATTACAGAAAGGTACACCCAGTGGTGGGTTCCTACCGGTTCGGACCGGTTCAACCAAACTGGTAGTGGTTTGGCAGCCTGGGTCACTTGAACTGACATGCCATGTCCCCATACCAGTTCTCCAGACGGCGCTGTAGGCACCACCGTCTTGCTTTTCGCTCCTGCACGTGCGCAGAACATTTCTTATTGCACTGCACATGCACAGCACGCATTAAGTGCGCGTATGTGTCATGTACACAAGCAAACTGGCAATAGTGCCTGCCGGAACCCACCCCTGGGTACACCCCAGTTGAATGTGAAGAGAAACTTCACATCACAGCATAAGAGTTCAACGGTGTAACCAAAATCGCCAAGGCCACTCCATAAGAATTTGCCAGTTGGCCAATGCATGCTGATAAATGCATAAATACAGCAACAACTTTCACAAGAACTGATCAGAAAGCACTGATCTCACGAGGGAGAGTCTGCAAAATAACAATCTATTTGATTGATGATACAATGAACTCTTTATCTTGTTTTCTTTCCCTTTACAAGTATCATTTGATTACTTGGTGCAATTTGTTGTACAGCATAGCTGCTTGGTTATATAACTGACCAAAGAAATGCCAACCTATTATCCGATCCTTATCATCTCTTTTTTTTTTCACTGCTTTCTTCATTTTGCAGTTTCACATTTCCCTTTTTCTCTTGGAGATGTTTGCTGGAAAATTAGGATTGGTGGGTATAGAGAAGGAATAATTACTCAACTTTTTAATTTTTTTATTGCACAATATTGTGAAAAAGTATGTAGCAATCAAATGTGCACACTCACCATTGTTAGCAGCATCACCCATTAACCTACCTTGCTTGCTATTCCAGAAGAGCAGAAGGTAACTTTAATTGATAGGATCCAATGTGGCTGCGAGAAGAAAATATGTTTGCACTGGAAAGGGAAGTTCTGTATTACAAACCCAACACATATAGAGAAATCAAGTTCCTTTTTGCATTTTAAATAAAATACAAATAAGTTACTAAGAAGATAATCTGCAGTGCATTATATTTATTCACTAATGTCAATGCTTTTTAATTTTTTTCAGAACAACTTCTGAAAGTCTCGGGTTAGCTAGAATCTTGGCCAGCAAAAACCCAAACACAGTTCAGAAAATCACGGATGAGTTATTATGATTGATATAGCTGATTATTTATAACATTGTTAGTGTACATGAGGAAGGAGATTATTTGGACGTCTGGCAATCAGGCATAGGATTCATAAAGAAACTGTATTAGTCACTCTTGTGGATGATCTTTTGAGATACTGGGATTGGAGGAGAGCAGTCCTCCTGGTTCTCCTTGATCTCTTGGAGGCTTTCAATATCATTGACCTTAATATCTTTCAGGATCTTCTTGGAAAGATTAGAGGGCAATGTTCTGTAGCGTTGCTTCTCCTTCCTGAATGGTTGGTTGGTTTTTTAGAGCATTTGGAAGCGTGTTATTGATAATGATTGTGGTGGCCCAGACAGTGCTGGGTGTATCTCCATAAACTTAATCTGGCCCTCCTGGTTTAGAGATCAACCTAGTTTCTATTGTTACTTTCCATGGGAATAGGCTAAACCCTGGAAGAGGAAGTCCCTGTTTATCTATGCTACTAATTTCTCTCCCACCCCCTCTCCTCCACCCATACTATCAAAATAAAATACTGACTCACTTTGCAAGGCAGTTGGAACAATGTAAATGAAATGGTTTCAATGCTCAAAAAACATTGAATGAATGTGTTATATACACAATGTGACTTTAAGCCTAAAATAAGAGGAAGCTTCCAATATAGCTATAAACATTATGGTAAAGTCTAAATGTCAACTTTAATAACTTTAAAATTGATTTTGTGTGTGTGTTGTTTATGTTGTGTGTGTTTGTGTGTGTGTGTATACATACATACATACATACATACATACATACATACATACATACATACATACATACATACATTATTTTACACATAGGTTGGATCCTGGAACTCAGTCACCATGTTAGATGATTCATGCTGGAAACTTGGCAGAAGGTGAATGTCTCTTAATTTTGCTAACCACCTAGCTGCTTTCAGCACTGTTGACCATGCTCATTACTTGATCAACATGGAATGGGAGTTTCTGATGGTTTAACTCATAAAGTTAAGGTAGAAGACTACTGCTCAAGCCCGTGATGTATGCTGTTCCTCAGTATTGTGCTTTTCAGTTTTGACATGGAACTACTGAGTGGATGATTTGACGTTTCAGAGTTGATTCTATATTGATATTATTCAATTCTGGCTCTATTTTTCAAATGATGTCAAGTAGATTGAGGAAATGCTAATCATTATCTTATCACAATAAAGATCTGCTTGAGGGTGAACCTTGAGGGTGAACAACTGGCATCCTAGGATTTGGGACCATGCCTCTTCTGGGTAACAGCATTTGTGTGAACAGACTAAGTTTAAAACTTGGCACAACCGTGCTTTTCTAACATACTGTGGTGGTAGCAACAAGCAGGAGTACTTCTTTGCTGAAGCAACTGCATCTCTTCTGAAGAAAGAGAACAGATTTAACTTCAGTGATTCAGACCTTATTACCTGTTTACATTTCTGTCTGAAAATTACAGCTATCATAAAATGTTCAGTAGTATTGCTAGTCATGTATTTTACATACCCTTTAACACTGAAATAATTGAATTGGCTTCCAGTTTATTTCTAAACCTAATGTTTAGAAGTGTTGATTATTTCCTAAAAGCCCCAAATGTCTTGGGAGAAAAGCACAAGTGAGTGACCTCTTTCTTCCATATGAAACTGCCCATAATTTACAGTTCAGTTGCTTATTCCACTCTCCAAAAAGGAGTGAGTCTGAACAAAACTACAAGGTAAAATTACAGCTGTCGCGTAACAGAGTGAGCTCCCGTTACTTGTCCCAGCTTCTGACAACCTAGCAGTTCGAAAGCTTGTAAGAATGAAAATAGAAAAAAATAGGAACCACCTTTGGTGGGAAGGCAACAATGTTACGTTCGCCTTTGGCGTTTAGACATGCCGGCCACATGATCACGGAGAACGTCTTCAGACAGTGCTGGCTTTTTGGCTTTGAGCACTGCCTCCTAGAGTCAGGAACGTCTAGCACATATGCGTGAGGGGAACCGTTACCTTTACCTTACAAGGTAAAATGCCAAGGCACTAAAGAGCAAAAATGCAAACTCAAATATCTTTATTAGTACAGCAGAATTATAAATAAGCCATGAAGACCAAATAAAATTTTCTAACCTATTTTATAATACAAATAAATATTCTTAAATGTGGCATTCGCTATAAAAGTATAAATATGCCTGTGGATCAAATCAAAATCCCTAAACAAGGTGACTGCATCTCCTATCATAAACATCTGGGACTCGCTATGTACTGAAATATAAATGAGTTTGATGAATACTCAAGGAATAACCACCCATAGCAGTAACCGTTCTAGAGAGGTTACATTAATTCCATCAACATTTAATGAAAATAGCATTTGTATTGGTTAATGTTACTCTACATTATTGTATTAAAGCTTTCTTTCTTTTTTCTGTTTTTAATGGATATATTTCTTTTTATCTTGTTGGGCATTCGTTTTAATTGTGCACTGCTTTCTGAGCATTGAGCAAAAGGATTATGCATACATATAAGAGATTAGTTAACATTATTTACAATTGAATTGTCGATGTAGTTTGAATCCCAACTTTGCCACTCTTTTGTTCTAGTATGTTTTACCAGGGACATATTTTTCTGCCCTTTGGAAAGAGCCTCTCATGCCTCTGTTTCCTAGCTTAAATTTCATGCACATAGTGGAGCCCCAAAATGGAGGTTTTGATTACTTTCAAGATTGGCTGTATAGCACAGGATTTGCTTATCTAATGTCATGTTGAAAGGAATGACTTTGAAGCTTCTTTATTTTGATAATAGTTAACAAACTTCACAGGCTTTCTGACTGGTGCCATGGTGAAAGGAAGGCTCCTTGTAATCACATTAAATGATCTCATAGCTTGTTGGGAAGAATGTTTCTGCAAACCACCAAATGCACATGAATACAGGTGGACAATAATAGCAATAGCAATAGCAGCTAGACTTATATACCGCTTCATAGGGCTTTCAGCCCTCTCTAAGCGGTTTACAGAGTCAGCATATTGCCCCCAACAATCCGGGTCCTCATTTTACCCACCTCGGAAGGCTGAGTCAACCTTGAGCCGGTGAGATTTGAACAGACGAACTGCAGAACTGCAGTCAGCTGAAGTAGCCTGCAGTGCTGCATTTAACCACTGCGCCACCTCGGCTCTGTACAAATTCCATATGACACCATATTTTGGGGAAAGAATTGTTAGGAACTTTTCTTCCCCTTATGCCTGCTCCTCATCCTTTCTTGAGAAAGAAGGGACGGCTATTACTTTATAGAGTTTAGAAATGGAGTCATTCTTACATTTGAGGTGAAATAAGTGAAAGCTGATTGGTTTGTGTTCTCTGTGTTCAGCTGTTGACTACCTTGGGTTAAATAATGATTGGCTGAAGATGCTGCTTGTCGACTATAGACTTACAAGGTATGCGGATTCAAGAGTATATGCTCTTCCTAGGCCACATTGACTAATAGGGGAACCCAGTGATGTGAAGGTTTGCGTTTTTAGAATGATTCAGAAGGAGGATTGTTGCCCTGAGTCAGTGCCTTAGTTTAAAGCACATGTTTGCAAGCATATAGACAATGCTGGTTTGAATGACTACAATATTTGATTTGAAGATGGTGAATACAAAATGAGGAAAATGCCAGTTTGGTTTAATATGTATTAGGATAATATGTTGAAAAATTGAATGGATCATAGAGCTCCTTAAAGCTTTACTACTGCTGGTTTTCTATGAATTTGTATACCTCTAAAGATTTCTTGATTTAGTGTGTGTTGTTCATGATTGCTTCTTGCACATCTTCTTAAACAGACACTTCCCCATCTGAAGTTACAAATCTCAATGCTTCTAACAACATTGGAGCTAGTGTCTTATGTGCCATTTGTGGAGATCGCGCTACGGGGAAGCATTACGGAGCATCCAGTTGTGATGGCTGCAAAGGGTTCTTCAGAAGAAGTGTCAGAAAGAACCATATGTATTCTTGCAGGTAAGGAAAGCGGAGTGAAGGCAGACTTTACTAAAATGATAAGATCAATTGTTAACATTTAAAGGATAACAAGGCTTAGTTTTATAAGGTACTCTTTCTTGAATCAAGAACTATTTCAAAAGGAAAGAAGGGAAAGAAATAAATACATTTAGCTTGAGAATAGAAGAAAAAGGAATTGAAAGCATGATGTCATCCTTTAAGAGCATTAAGTGTGATCCTATAAAAGCAGATCAAAAGATTGTTTTCTGCTGTTTTAGATGGATAAGTGTAGATCTACTGGGCTTCAGGAGAGTAGATATTGGTTCGATATAAAGAGACATTTTTTTTGTAAATGTCATAAAGAGCAGTTTTAAGAACAAAACCAATTGGCAAGTAAGAAGCCACTTACTAGACTTTTTATAGAAAAGGACAAAGATCCACCGATCATGGATAGATTTCCTGCATCAAGCTTGAGTTTGAAATACAAGGCCCCAACTTCCGGATTTGATGAAATGAAATCAACACTTCTGAGTTTCATTCTCTTTTTTAGCACTCGTGTATCTGTGCTCTGCATTTTCACTTACTCCAGAAGGTCTAAAAGAGCATCTCAGATATATATTTTAACTTGGCTAAGAAACTGGCAAGATTTGTCTGGAAAAGGCAAGATATAGAAGAGTTGTAAGAAGTTGTGAGAAGTTGTAAAAAAGAAAGATCTTTTCTGATTTTCGGTATACCATGTACAATATCAAAATGCTGCAATTTGCATCACATTTCATAATATATTATTGCAGCAAACGTAATTTAGTATGTGTTAAAATTGTAGATTGATTTATTTTCAAATTATGTCTCCCTCCTTCTCTTTGCAGGTTTAATAGACAGTGTGTTGTAGACAAGGACAAAAGGAACCAGTGTCGATATTGTAGGCTAAAGAAATGTTTTCGAGCAGGAATGAAGAAAGAAGGTAAGATCTTTTCAGGAATCATCAACTGAGTTTGCTTTTTCATTGTGTAACTATGCTATAAACAGTTTTGAAAACTGCTGTGCAGATTATCAGTTTCTATAGAAGGCAGCCCTTTTCCCCATACACATCTGACAGGAATTTTGATGAAATATCTGAGTATGAAATAATAATTAAAATTTTGGACTTGAGTTGGGAAGATCTAAGTTTAAGTCACTATTTGATCATAAGTTCACTGGATAACTTTCTCAAGCCAGTAGATCATTGAGAAAGTAAAAAGAGGAAAGTCTCCCATAAATACTGCCATGTGATCAAAAGGAAAGGCAAACTAGACACTATGGGGGAATACCTTAATGAGTCTTAAATGATGTATCACAGGTAACATAAACAGGAACATCTGTTTAATTGAGGTAGATAGATTTATAACTATGGCCAGCAGAAATATAATCCAAGATGTCAAAGCAATTATGACAACAGTTGTTCTGCATTTCATCTGGAAATTCAAATTTCCCCTTTTCTCTAACTCTGAAGATGTAGATCAGATAAGAGAGATTTTTTTCCAGTTTTGCTGTCAGAGACCATTATAACACTGGGAGGAACTGCCTGGATAGAACACAACAGCTGTTGTTTGCCATCTGAATTATTATCTGGGAAAAATAGGAATAGGAAGAAATCATTCAGATTTCTAAAATGAAATGGATCATTATTATTGCATCACAAATCTACAAAGTGCATACATAGTTAACATGAAATTTGCTCTCAGACCATGGATTTATGACTGCCATTTTAGTTTGCTTTAAAGGCAGACTCAGGATTTAGTTAGTTAGTTAGTTAGTTAGTTAGTTAGTTAGTTAGTTAGTTAGTTAGTTAGTTAGTTAGTAAATTTATAGGCCGCCCAATCCCGAAGGATGAATGCCCACTTTGTGTTCCCTCCAAGATTAAAAACAGTCTCCCTCTGAATTGAGAATTATAAGGAGGAAAAGGGGTGGAAGTGGGGCTCCCATTTTCTGACAGTGCATCTCTTAGGCCTTCAGTTTTAGTTTCAGTTTATTAGACTTGTATGCCGCCCTATTCCCAGAGGGACTCAGGGCGGCTAACAAACCAAAAGGGAATGGGGACAATACAAAGAAAACAAACAAGACAAAAAACAAAATACAAAAAACAGATTTAAAAAAACTCCTCAACAGTCACAACAATTTGAGTGGGGCTGGGAACTCATCAGCCCCAGGCCTGCTGGAACAGCCAGGTCTTAACGGCTTTGCGAAAAGCCTGAAGGATGGTGAGGGTCCAAATCTCCACGGTGAGATCGTTCCAGACTTTCTGACTTAGTGCATCCCTTAGGCCTCTAGTTAAATGCTGTGAAACAGGATACTGGTTTTTCATATTCCTACCTATGGATGTGCCCAACCACATCTGATGAAGTGGAGTCTTGTCCACAAAGCTTCTATGCGAGTGCATGTGTGATCTTTTAAGATGTCACAAAATAGATTATTATGGTACATGTTTTCCGGGATGAGAATTGAGTTTAGCGGGCAACTATGCTTTTTCAAATGGACCTCACTGCTCTTTAGGGCTGGTGGAAACCCAGCCATAATGAGGGAGCTGTCCACCTTATGCTACAACAAAACTTTCCACTTTTAAGTGACACTAACACTTTGGGTTGGCTTTGGTACATCCTGTCGCTGGAGCAAATGCTTAGATGCTGCCAATGCTTAACATTAGTAGCTAAAGAACAAGTGTTCCTAAAAATGTATCTCCATTTTGCTTGGATAATGAAATCCTCATATCTGTCCAGAGTGCCTGCTCAACTTGTATTTTCCTGTTAATATTCAATAGAAGTTACATTGGGTCCATGACCAGCTAAATACTGAGCAAACATTGAGGATACATCATACTGTGACTGAGCTCCTGAGTTCCTGATAACACACAGCATAACCTTGAGTCCTCCTATTAATAGCTGCTGACTGCAGAGTTTTCATTTCAGTATAGCCTCATTATAACTCTATTATTGAGCTGATTGGAAAATAAATCTGAGAGGCACTGCTTGTAACAGTAACAATCAGATATCGCTTAACAGATATATTCTTGTGATTAATCCGAGAGAGAGAGTGAAAGTATCTGATTACTAGAGCTGATAACTTAGGTACTTCTTGGACTTGTTAAGGGTAATTTCTTCTTGGGCCTTAGCCAAGTAATCACAGTCAGTCACAGGTCTGATCAGGAAATATTAGAACATGTTATCCCTGGGTATGAAAAGGAACACCTCAAATGTCCATTGCCAATTTTGCTATTTAATTTATTATTTTGCTCTGTCTGATGAAGTTGCTTGGATAAGCAAGAAAACATCTCAAATTGGTCTAGTTGCCATGATTACCTTTAGACACCTTTGTCCTGGATGATTGAGTCTTCACTGATATACTTCCCCACTATAATTGAAGCCTAACATGTTTCAATATCTGTTAATGTTAACAAAACTGAAAACAAACAAAAAGATTAAGTCATGACATTGGTATATTAATGAAGTTGAGGAGGAATTTTTTTTCTCCTTTGGGTCAAGAGGTTAAAATGTAAAAAAAAAAATCCATCCATTTATTACAATTGAATTTCCTTCTTAAAAGTGCACAATAGCTTAGAGAATATTCTATACATATACTTAATTAAATATTACCTTGTTTCATTTAATTGCCCAGCTGAAGTTTTTGTGGTAGTTCCAATCAGCATCATTCTCATAGCAACAGCAACAACATATAATCATTGCTTTTTTATTGGGTGAAATCAGAGGTGGTATTCAGCAGGTTCTGACCAGTTCTGGAGAACCATTAATGGAAATTTTGAGTAGTTCAGAGAACCGGTAAATACCACCTCTGACTGGCCCTGCCCCTGCCCCCATCTATTCTCTGCCTCTGGAGTCCCAGCTGATCAGGAGGAAATGGAGATTTTACGGTACCCTTCCCCTCCCACGCCCACCAAGCTACGCCCACAGAACCGGTAGTAAAAAAAATTGAATCCCACCACTGGTTGAAATCCAATTATGAATAAAACTTCCGTTAAGCTTGTTGTTTGCCTTCCATCCCCATTTCCCTATGCCAACTCTGATAGAACTTTCAACCTTCCAGTCAAAATATGAGGTGCATAAAGGACAAAAAAATAGCCTCCCCATTCTTATACATTTTCTGCTTTTTCCCATGGAAGTGAACCTGCTTGGATTCAAAGTTTTATCTTTCAAATGTAGAATATAGTATAAAAAAAACAAGCTTGAAATGTCACTTGTGTTCCTATTGATCATGTAAATGGCTTAGATATCTTTAATGTTGGAGTTTTTATTTCAGCTGTACAAAATGAGCGTGATCGAATCAGTACTCGGCGATCCAGCTATGAAGACAGTAGCTTACCCTCCATTAATGTTTTATTGCAAGCAGAAGTCCTTTCACAACAGGTACTTGTTTCTGTTTTAGAAATAATTAGCATCAATGCGATTAGAAGGCTCCCATAGCCCACTGTTGTTTCAGTGCACATCTTAATCTGGAGAGCATGTTTATAAATATTGAAAGATGCTTCTCCAATAAATAGAGGGATTTATTTTGGAACAAAGGTATAGAAGTTTCAATAGAAGAGTATATATGCAGCTCAGAGTTGAACTATGGAGTCAGTGGTGCTCTCTGAGCTTGGTTATTTGCTTGCAGACGTTTCATTACCCCACTATGTAACCTCATCAATGCTAGCAAGTGTGGAGTTTGCTCCTTGTTTATATACTGTAGCTTTCCCTGCGTGTGTTGGTGGCAGTATGGTTTTAAAATTCTCAGCCTACTGTAAAAGCACCTTAATTACTCCTTTAACTGTCCTACGTTCAAAGTAATGCTTTTCTTCTTCTTCCACACAAATTTATTAAAAGCATAATCCATGATGCTTTATTGACAATGCTGCGATGATAAGGTCAGGAACTGCCAAGCACCTATAAGCTGTTTTATATACTGTATGTCTCCTTTTCTCCAGTCACTGCATAACTGGATATTACCCTCTAAGGCCATTTTGTCTTAAACTGCAGGACAGACAACCTTTTTATATGGAGTTAGCTGACTGCATAATATCTGATTAGGGAGAACAATTGGCGGTTTTCTTTCCTGCCAGCATATTACGTTGGGTGGGAGAGCAAATTCAACCGGCAACCTCCAATAATAGCTATCCTTAACTTGTTCTCAATGGCTTTATTACTCAGAACTCAGGAGCCAGGGCTGAGTAGTTTATGCCACAGGATCAAGTTTTGGAGGAATGCTTGTTAATGCCGCCATGAGCAAAACTCTAGCTCTATTGTTAATAAACTCATAACGCCATTGCAAGCATATTTTCCGTAACAATGATAAATGTTATCGGTAATTATCTGGGTGCAAAATATTGTTCCTTTGCATAGTGAAAATAATGCATTAGGACTATAACTTTAAAAGAAGATGTAACCAAAAAAAGCTACAGCTATGAATTAGTGCATTAAATGTTAAAAGAGGTCTTGGTAATAAGAGTTCATGCTGTTAAAAACTGCATTCCCACCAATCCAAATCACTTACTCAGGACTGATATTTATGTTTGTTTAATTGTTTAGAGGGAAATAGATTTGTACCACCTTCAAAATGATTTTGAGGGTTCACATTAAGCATGGCTTCCTTTCATCTTTGTAGTAATAATATTAAATGGAACTCCCCTCCTTGTTTTGCAGATATCATCACCAATGTCAGGGATTAGCGGAGATATCAGAGGGAAAAAGATTGCAAATATTGCAGATGTGTGTGAATCCATGAAACAGCAACTGTTAGTACTTGTGGAATGGGCCAAATATATCCCAGCCTTCTGTGAGCTGCCCCTGGATGATCAGGTGAGCCCCTTTTTTGCACTCTTATTCTAATTAAACTTTGCTTCCATATTCCATTTTCAAAATTGTTATACTGTAATCCTTTTGAGATACCCATCTAATGATCATGCTTTACAGTTTCTACCCACTGTTGTTTGTTGAAATGCAGTATTGTAATGCTGAATTGGTTGACAGTAATACTAGTAATCCTTAGGAAGAGCTTGATGGCAAATAAAAATGGCAAATCCTGGCTGAATATCTGACTGACTGTGCAAGCAACCACAATAATATTTGAAAACATCTGGAGCACCACTTGAACACCATTGGCATTGATAAAATCCTCATCAGTCAATTGCAAAAAGGCAACTTTACTAGGAATAACTTACATCCTGCAGTGGTATCTTTAATACCATCAAACAACATCTGCCTAGGGGAGTTCTTGGGAAGGACTTGAAAGGCGGATAAAAATGCCCAATTCAGTCTAAACATCTGGCTGATTGTGTGACCTATCATAATATATTCCTCCCCAACATGTAAAAGCTTTGGATTTAATGATATTTAAGCGAACAGTTACATTCTTATGGCTATCATCCTCTGCATTCTTAATTGTATAGGCTTCCTTGATTCTAGTGATACCTTGAATCAGAGATCTATCAGATTAAGCTAGGAGTTTATTGACTTTTAGAATGCATCTATTATTGGACATATTGGGGCATGGTGGCTGAGTGGATAGGACACTGAGTTTGTCGATCAAAAAGGTCGACAGTTCAGTGGTTCGAATGCCTAGTGCCACGTAACAGAGTGAGCTCCTGTTACTTGTCCCAGCTTCTGTCAACCTAGTAGTTCGAAAGTATGTAAAAATGCAAGTAGAAAAATAGGGACCACCTTTGGTGGAAAAGTAACAGCGCTCCATGCGCCTTTGGCATTTAGTCATGCCAGCCACATGACCACGGAGAACGTCTTCAGACAGTGCTGGCTCTTTGGCTTTGCAACTGAGATGAGCACCGCCCCCTAGAATCGGGAACGACTAACACATATGTGGGAGAGGAACCTTTACCTTTACATTATTATTATCAGACAAATCCACCCTATTCCACTTTGCCTCAAACCTAAAACCGATGCCTCTGGAAAATAGCACTCTCTCCAGCTCTTTCGTTACATGATATTTCTCCATGTTTGTTCAGCGCTTACATGTTGGCCCATCCCCATAAAGACAATCTTTCCCAAATCCTCCAGTTAATGTTTAGAGACTGTTTGCTGAAAAGCTGAAGTCCCAGTCGGACATTAAAAAGCATCCATGTCATGCTGCGTCTTGGTGTTAACCTTTGTTTCTAAAGACTTTTTAAAAAAAGATGTGAAACGGGAGATTCAGAACATTCTTGAGGATCATTGAAGGGTATAAAGTGACACCATGCAATCATTAACAACATAGCAAGCAGGATTTTTTTAAAAAAGAAAAACCTGTCTGTCCCTTGCTGTAGAAAAAAATTCAGAAAAATTAGTTGTATCAGGGCAAGAATGCAAGTGTTCAGTATTGCATTGGTCAGACCGCACCTGAAATGCTCTGACTCCAGTTTTGGTCACCACAGTGGAAGAATGCTGAACAGCTAGAAAGAGTTGAAAGAGCAGTAAAGATGGCGAGGAGTTTGAAGGCTAAATCCTAGGAAGGTTAAAAGAGTTGAGTTTAGCCTAAAGAAGGCTAAACATGATCACCCAAAACTTGAAGAGATGTCATGAGGAAGAGGCTGCGAATTTATTATTCATAGTGCCTGAAGGTAGGGCAAGAACCAGCGGGTGGAAGGTTTACGAAGAGAGACCAAAAATCTAAATAAAGAGGAATTTCCTGACAGTGAAACCTACTAAGCAGTGGACCCACCAGCCTCTTGAAATTATGGAGCCCCATCACTGGAGCTTTTCAAGCAAAGTTTGGAGAGTTATTATGGGGACCAGTGTGCTTTTATTTGTTTATTAACTAAGCAGAGTGCATCCTTAACTTGGAACAGTGCATCCACCTAATATCTGGGCCAATAGTCATAGGGGAATTAACTGTTCTGGAAAAATATTGTACTCAGAGCAGCCTTAGATCTGGCCAAGTGACTCCTGTAATTCAGAACAGCATTTAGTCTTATATTCCAGCTATAATCCAAGATGGATGATGATGATGATGATGATGATGATGATGATGATGATCATGATGATGATCATGATGATGATCATGATGATGATGATCATGATCCTTGGAGTCAATGTTGACTTCTGGCAACTGCCTGGGCAAATCTATGTAATTTTTCTGGGCAAAAGATTTTCAGAAGACAATTATCATTGTTTCCTTTCTAGGGTTGACAGAGACTGACTATCTACACATATGCATTGGCCAGGACCTTAAATTCCCACCAGATACTTCTATCCTATGAAGCAAATCCAAAAGCTATTAGGGAAAGGGCCTTTCTGGATGTGGTGCCCCAGCTCTGAAAAGCCATCCTCCCCCAATTGTGTTTTGATGTTGGCTTTGACTCCAGACCTTTAAAGGGCCATTTTGAAGTTTTAGAAAACATTAATGCTTTGTGGCTATTTTATTGTTGTTTATGTTCCTGCTTCTGATTTTTATCATATCAGTTTGAACTTTTTGCTGCCTCGTACATTTTTCAGTTTTGTTTTTCATAACGTGTTATTAACTGATTGTTTACCTCTGAAGAAAATCTTTTTAATTTGGTTTAAAGTGTAGTCACTCCAGCCAGCTAAGCCTGGGAAGCACGCACGCTCTGAGTAAATAAAAAGAAAATCCTATTCTTCCCCAAAATGTGCCAGCCAAAATAAACACAGCTGCTTTGGGAGATGTGATTACAAGGGCTCAGCTCATACTGTGTTCTCTTCAATAATATGGTTCTCAATGGGAAGATGCTTTTCTGTGCTCCTCCTTAGTGGGCACCCCTTAGCTTTGTGCCATGCTCTGTATGTCTTTCTCGGTTAACAGAGAAAGTAACAGTAGATTACAGTAACAGTAGATATTTGTTCCTTTGTTCCTGCAGGTGGCTTTGCTACGAGCCCATGCTGGGGAACATCTCTTACTGGGAGCAGCCAAACGCTCGATGGTGTTCAAAGACATCCTTCTCCTAGGTAAAGATCTTCTCCCCGTAAAATTTCAGAAGATTTTTTCAATGTGGAGGGTTTTAAAAAAATAACACAGGCTCTGGCACTTGTTGGCCTTCTTGTAGTGAAATCCTGTATGTTTATTTAGCAACGTCCCATTTGCTAAAGGGGAATTATATCTAGTAAACATGAATAGTACTGTTTCCAACCACAACAATTTCCAAAATTTGTGGACTTCAACTCCCAGAATTCCTCAGCCAGCTGGGTGTTGAAGTCCAATCACTTGGCGTTGCTGACTTTTCATCATCTATTTGTTTTCACTTATCTTTTTTAATGAGTTTAGAGACCGGCAATAATTTTAAGAGAGTAACATGTACATTGAGAGAGGTATTACTTTCTGTTCTTTTGTTCTGCTGTCATCTCTGACTTTACAGTTTCTGAAGCAAGATAGCAGCTTGTTTATAGAAGTGAAAGAAGGCTATCTCTGTGTGGTATTAATTCTTGTTCTCCTGCTGTTGAAAAACAAATGTCTAGCCTCTCTTTCCAGCTTGACATCTAGTTGTCTCCTCTTCAATGGAAGAGGAGATCCAGATGTTGTTGCCTTCAACTTTTCATGTGTTTTGAGTTTTCCTGGTATTTCTTCTGATGAACAAGTACCATATTTTTGGAGTATAAGGCGCACCTTTCCCCCCAAAAGAGCGTGGAAATGTTGGTGCATCTCATATACCAAAACCAGCTATCTTTGGCTTCCCAAAGCCCCCAGAAGCATTCTGCAGGCTTCAGCAGGGCTGGGGAAAGGCAAAAATGCCCTCGTTTTTGCAAAAAAACGGCCTGTTTTCCACCTGCTTTTTGCAAAATGGAGACATTTTTGCCTTCCCTAAGCCCTGCTGAAGCCTGCAGAATGGTCCTGAGGGCCGGGGAGAACAAAAACTATTTTTTCTTACTTACCTTTTTGAAATCTTAGTGCGTCTTATACATCGGTGCATCTTATAGTCAGAAAAATACACTAGATTGATTGAACAATTTATTTAGCTTGCTAATGTGCTACTAGGGGCTGTCTTACCTCAGAGGCCCAACATTTAAAAATTGTTTTGTGGTAGAATTAAGAACTCGAGAAACAATTTTGTATGGGAAAGCCATTTATTGACAAGAAACGTTGATGTGTAACAAGTAATATAACACAAGCATCCTTAAGCTCTACAGATAGTCCTCGACTTATGACCATAATTGAGCCCAAAATTTCCATTGCTCAGCAAGGCAGTTGTTGAGTTTTGCTCCATTTTACAATCTTTTTTGCCACATTGTTAAGACAATCACTACAGTTGTTAAGTGAATCATGCAGTTATTAAACAAATTTGGCTTCCCCCATTGACTTTGCTAGACGGAAACCAGCTGGGAAGGTTACAAATGGTGATCACATGACCCCAGGACAAATGTCATAAATACATGCCAGTTGCCAAGTGCCCAAATTTTGATCATATGATTATGGAGATGCTGTGACAGTCATAAGTGTGAAAAACAGCCATGTCGCTTTTTTTTCATTGCTGTTGTAACTTTGAACAATCACTAAATGAATGGTTGTAAGTCAAGGACTACCTGTAGTTTACAATGATACTTGCATGTCAGCAGAACACTTCTTCAAGGATCTTATTAGTAATATATAAAGGGGTATTTTACAACTATCTAATTAATTATTATGGTTTTGGTGGAGAGGAACTAATCCCATGTGATTGGTAATTCTAATTTTAAATAGCTAGATAAGGAAAATAAAATATTTCCATTGGCTTAAATATTGAATTGAAACTGATTTTTAGATGGGGAAAAAAAAAGATCAACTGTTGTTATAGCAAATTATAGAAGGTTATAGAATATGCAAAGAATGAAGCAATTTGATTGAATGAGAATTTAAATAACCCCATTTTCCTGCAGGAAATGACCACATAATCCCCCGAAACTGCCCAGAATTGCTGGAAATCAGCCGCGTAGCTGTGCGAATTCTAGATGAGCTGGTGTTAACATTTCAAGATCTGCAGATTGATGATAATGAATATGCTTGCCTGAAAGCCATTATCTTCTTTGATCCAGGTAGATGCTATTTTTGAGCAATTAGAAGAGAAATATAAGGATGCTTCCTTTAAAATTGTAGTCCTGTAGCATTACTGAGGAATTTATTGCTCCAGACCAACTCCTTAATGCCGTTGTGCTATTTCATTTCAACAATACCCTTCTCCAGTCAAAGCTTCCCAAGGGTTCTCAAAGTGTAGTCCCGAGACCCTTTCAGAAGGTCCAGAAAATCAAATAAAAGTTAATAACTTTGCTGTTGTGGTGAGCTGCCCAAAGTTGTTAAATGTTCTAAATAACGTATGGAATAAATGTTTTAAATCATATTTTAAAAATTCACAGTTTTAATTTTTAATGCAATAAATATTGGTGAGAATAATCCACATAAACCAAAGCTCTTGGGCGAGGAGATCCTTAATCATTTTAAAGAATGTAAGGGTGCTGCGACCAAAATGTTTGAGAACTGCTGTTCTAGATCAGTCTGCCCTGATACCCTCCAGTCTTGTTGAATTTGAGTTCCTATCACTAGAGGTGGTATTCTGCCGGTTCACCCTGATTTGGACGAACCGTTAGTGGTGGCAGTGGTGGAAGGCTCCGCCCACCTGCCCAAACGTCATCATGGACGCTCTGCACATGTGCAGAATGTTCAGAACTGATAGCAAAAATAAGAGGATTTCATGCCTGGCTTCACAGGAGATGGCTTTTCTTTACGTTATTCCCTTTCAATATGGCTATAGCACTGCTGCGCTAACAGTAATAATAAGAGTAAGAACAAACGTTACAGTACAGATAGTTCACATTTACCAACCACACTTAGAACCAGTGTTTAGGACCAGCAACTTGGTCACTAAGCATCACAGTTGTAAATGAAATGTCATATGACAGCGTCCAACTTACGATATCAGTTTGTCAGTTCTGGCTGCATTCATTAAGCAAATCATTGGAAATCATTAACCATGATATCACATGGCCATGACCTGTGACTTCCAGTCGGCTTCCCCACTTTACTCGTCGGAAGCCATTTGTGAAAGTTGCAGATGGTGATTATGTGACCACAGGATGTTGTAACCATCGTAAATTGCAATGATGTGGATGCTATGATGGCCAGAATTTCAAAGAAGATTAGTGACGTCTCCTTTTTAGGCATCATCGTAGTTTTGAAGGTTACTGAACAAGTGGCCTTTCTCGCCTGGATTACTGTAACACTCTCTACCTGGAGCTGCCCTTGAAGAGCACCCGGAAGCTTCAACGGGTCCAGAATGCGGCTGTGCGGGTTGTCATGGGGGCACCCAGGTACTCCCATGTTACACCCCTTTTAGGCGGCCTGCACTGGTTGCCGGTTGTCTTCCGGGTGCAATTCAAGGTACTAATTATGACCTTTAAAGCACTCCATGGCTTATAATCCCCGACCTCTGGTCCTTCCGACGCGCCCTAAAAAGTTGGCTTTTCCAACAAGCCAGCCTGGCCTGAACAAAACAAAACAAATGATTGATTACTGTTAATTTTAATTTTAATTCTTTTTTTAAAAAAAATATCATTGTCAATTTTAATTGGGTTTGGGATATTCTATTTAATTTTTTTAAACTTTTGTATTATGTGTTTCTTTTAATGTTGTACGCCGCCCTGAGTCCTTGAGAGAAGGGTGGCATATAAATCTAATAAACCTAAACTTAAACCTAAAAAGAGGACCACGTGGAATTAAAATCTCTCAACTTCTACCAAAATAGAAACTCAGAAACAATCAAGAAGACTATCAGAAAGGACAATGAATCGGCATTTCATTGCTGATTTCCCTGCTTATGATCAAGTAATCAGCCTCAGCAACACTTTATATTAATCACACTAAACACTTGCATACTATTTCATTTTAATTGCCACCGATTAGATCTGGAAAAATGTGGGATGAAATATTAAGAACACTGAATTAGCACTTTCATGACAGAATGCTTTGTGTGTGAGGAGAAAAAGATCATAATTCAAAAAAATAATAATAATCCACTGAGGCAGTAATCCTGTTTCACATCTTAATCAGATTCTAGTCTATGTTGCATTGATTTTATTCTGTCAGCCCCCAATAAATGAAATAGAAATGTCCATATGCAAAGGAAAAATGTTTCATGGCTGCTGCAGGTTTTATCCCTTCCCCAGCACAGTTTTATGACCAGGTTGTTACAGAAGGCCCCCAAATGGTTTCTTCAGTGTTGTGTTTGGTGATGCTGTTTCATAAGCTGGAGTTGCTTATGAAAGTTGTCTCATAAACTATGAGACAACTCATAAACTGCCCCTGTATTAAATTCTACCAGACTTTATACTGTACCTGTAAAGTCGAACATTTTGGGGTCTAACTCCCTCACTCCTCACAATTGTCCATGCCCAACTGGAGCTGATGGCCATTGGAGACAAAGGCTGTAACAGGGTCAAGAGTTCCCCAGCATTTGTCTATGTAATTGGGGCTCATGCAAATCATTTGCAAGGCAGAATATGGGAATAATGCACCTCTAGCCTTTTCAGTCTCTAGTTCAGTGGCAGAATGCATACAGAAGTCCCAGACTCAAATTCTTTCAACTTCAAATGTTGTAGGGAAATTCCTGCCAGAAACTTTGGATTGCTGCTTCCAATCAGGGTCAGCAATATTGAGTTAGATGGATGAGTAACCCAAACCATGTAAGTTACTAGCTAATAACTTTCCTTTTAAAGTACAACATTCCACAAGAAACTACCCCAGATTATTTGAAACAGGACTCCTCATTCTTTTCAATATCTCTGTCCTTGGAAATTGGCATAATATATAACATCTTTTATTCCAGATGCTAAAGGCCTAAGTGACCCTATCAAGATCAAACGAATGCGATATCAAGTCCAGGTCAGCCTGGAGGACTACATCAATGACCGGCAATATGACTCACGAGGACGCTTTGGGGAGCTGTTACTTCTCCTGCCCACCCTCCAAAGCATCACATGGCAGATGATTGAGCAAATCCAATTTGTTAAACTGTTTGGCATGGCCAAAATTGACAACCTGTTGCAAGAGATGCTGCTTGGAGGTGAATGTTGTCGAAGAAACCTACCTGAAATTAGGCATCAGGACTTTCGCCCCTAGAATGAAGGACAAGTGCAGAATGTACAGTACCATGAATCTCACTTTAGTTAAGAGAAGAAAGAAAAATAAAATCAATGATATATCTTGTTTGAGAGATGTCTATGGAGATTCTCGGTCATCCAGGTCATGGTTGCCCCAAAAGTGCTTTTTCAAGAGGCAACTGGACTTTCTGGTTTTCCATTGAAGACAATTCACTTCTCATCCAAGAAGCTTCTTCAGTTCTAAAGAAGCTTCTTGGATGAGAAGCAAAACATCTTCAAAGAAAAACCAGGAAAAAAAATTGCCTCTTGAAAAAGCATCTTTGGGACATCTTGTTTGATTGTTTGATCTTCCTCCTGAAGCAAGATTTCTGCTAATCCTTTTTTTTTTAATTTAGTGCCCATATTTTGCAATTCAATTACAGCAAAGGGTTTTTTTATGAATACTTTTTTCATGTTTCCAAAATTTCAGTGGCCTACTTGAAAAAATGACACATTGAGAAATACTTACTCAACAGACTTCAGATTTTTTTCTCAGACAATGAACATTTTGGCTTAATTAATTTCATTAATAACAAGAAATCTGTGTCAGTAGCTAAGCCAAGGACATGGTAGAGACAAGACCAAACTTTGTTCAACTAGCATTTTCAAGATATATTGGTATTACAGACTGTGTCTGTGTGCCAGATTCTTTATAGAAAAGAATGTGGTAAAATGACTGTCTTCAGCCTCTACAAAGCAGCTGAAGAACAGCTAAGGAAGGATATGACTTGAAGTAGAAAAATGTGGGTCACAATCACATCTCTTATTCCTTTCCAGATACACAAAAGCTGTAGCCCAGCTTTCTATCAAATTCTAAATTGCTCAGGACACATTGTTAGATTACATGCTGTAAACATAAACCATTGAATATATTTTTTTCCACAAAGATATAATTGAGTAAAATGGGAAATAATAGTATTTGATTGGTTTGGATTAATTCATTTTGATTCTTCCAAAATGCATCTCTGTGATTTGGGCTTCACCTGTTCGTGCTTCTACTATTAATCAACAGAATAATTTAAGTAGACTGGAAAGTTAGGAGATAAAACTTGATCTATTCCCTGTCCAAATGGTTATTGACACCAAGATCATTTCAAAGATTAGAATGGGATATAATTTTCTTCACTGAATATTGTCCAATACTTAGATTCCTATTCATCGTTTTAGGTTCATCAAGTGACACACCTCATGCTCATCATCATCCTCTGCATCCCCACCTTATCCAGGAGAATTTGGGAACAAATGTCATTGTGGCCAACACAATGCCTCCTCAGATCCATAATGGACAGTTGTGTAAGTATTCACACTTAAAAGATCTATCTGTCCGAGAATGCTATATTTGTTCTCAGCCACAGTAAAACAGCTTTTGGCAAATGATATCTCCCAATCACATTTAATTTTATAGACCAATGTGAATGATAATCATGGGAAATGAAGTCTAACATTTCTGAAAGACATCATCTGGAAGAAAACTACACTATCTACAGTAGTAACCGCTCCTCATAAATACTAAAGAGTATCAGATGTATTGTATTATTATTTATTTGAGGGCATGTTACTTGACTTAACAACTGCAGTGATTCACTTAACAGCTGTAGCAAGAAATGTGGCAAAATGAGGCAAACTTCATTAGCAACAGGAATTTGGGGGCTCAATTTTGGTTGTAAGTCGAGGACTACCTGTACAGGAAAAATACTTGTGCCTTAATCACGTCTGTTGAGTGTAACAATATATGTTGTAACAAAGCTTTTCTTCCCACAGCCACTCCTGAAACTCCCCAACCTTCCCCCCCAGCTGGCTCCGGAGCTGAACAATACAAACTACTTCCGGGGGCCATCGCAACTGTAGCCAAGCAGCCCAGTTCGATCCCTCAGCCCACCATCACAAAGCAGGAGGTCATCTAGCATCCAACTAAATGAGGAATCGATGGCTCAGACCGCCATGTGGAGAAACGAAACCTCCCTCGTTCTCAACTCAATCCCTCTGGTGGTCGAACAATTCATCGAGCTTTTCCCAGGGCAAAAATGTGCTATTTTAAAAAAAAATCGGAAATTACATGTGAAAAAAAAGAAGAAGAAGTGATATTCACATGCATCTGTGACTGAATGCTGCATAACTTACAGATTAGCCTCAATGGACACCTTTGCAAAGACAGCCAGGTGTCAAACTTTAGATCTGTTGGTGGCTGTTCCAAAAATTGCACTGACTTGCCTGTTTTGCCACTGCCTACTTTCTCCGCCTCCCTCTTTCTCTACAAATCTGCCTTTTTTCTTTTTCTTTTTTAAAGGCAGCTGACTGGAAAGATAGGAAGAAACCAAGCCCCATTACTGGAGCATCTCCAAACAGTTCTTTCTGTGACATTATGGGTGACACATTTCCAGAGTCTTGATCCTTAACAAGAAGAAGACAAAGATGCGGAGACTCTGAGCTTGTTGAAGCTGAGGCATACCCACCATTTGTACTGCCTGCTCAAATGCCTTGGGGAAATACTACATGTAAAATATAGGCTCATAGGCTCCCACTAGCTCTAGCAGTCTGTGATGTTGAGTGATGGACATTTGCGCTCTTCAAGCACCATTGTTGCATATGCTACTGATATTTTGTCCATCTGGTAAATGAATAGCTTCTATGGGGAAGCACCCTCGTGCTGAACAAAGTATGGCCTTGCTGCATCTAGTCAGGATTCTTTTCATCTTACAATGCACTGTACCTCTTAGCTTCTTTGTTGTCTTCAGGGTCTATCACTCAAGACCACTGCCTCTGCTTATGAAGGTTTTGTGACTAATAGACATTGACAGAGCATTCCTTTATGTTTTTGCCTAACGCAGTGTTCTCCAACTTTTCCAGGTGGCATGGGGGGTTGGGGGGGGGAGAAGGGATGGTTTTATGTGAGGGGCAGGTATGCACGTGCATGCGCACAGCTTCATTTGTGTGAGCGGTGGGTGCACTCATGTGAGTGGGGCTGCAAGTGCCAGTGCCCACCGCTCAGGCAAATGGGTCTGTGAACCAAAGAGCCCACTGCTTGTGCAAGTGGACATGCGAGTGAGTGGAGCTCAACACTGGTGCATCCTGGTTCCCAAAGAGCCTCAGTCCAGGGGTTGGGAATCCCTGGTCTAATGCTTTTTAAGAGCACAAGGTTTGTGCCATTTGCTCGCTAGGAAAACAGGGAGAGAATGACTCAGAGGTGGTATTCAGCAGCTTCTGACCAGTTCTGGATAACCGGTATCAGAAATTTTGAATAGTTACCGTGTTTCCCTGAAAATAAGACAGGGTCTTATTTTCTTTTGACCCCCAAAATAAGCTCTTGGCTTTATTTTCGGGGAGGTCTTATTATTTTTGAGGTGCAGGAGGTGACGAGCGTGGTCACCTCATGGCTGCTGCTGTGTTGCAATATTTTTGGGGAGGGCTTATTTTTGAGGGAGGGCTTATTTTTGAGGGAGGGCTTATTTTAGCACATGCGCTCAAAAGCCCGATTGGGCTTATTATCCGGGAAGGTCTTCTTTTCAAGGAAAGAGGGTAGTTGAACGGGTAAATACCACCTCTGACTGGCTCTTCCCCCATTGATTCTCTGCCTCCAGAGTCCTTGCTGATCGGGAGGGAATGGGGATTTTGCAGTAACCTTCTCCTTGAGCGGGGAGGGAATGGAGATTTTACAGTATTCTTCCCCTGCCATGCCCACCAAGCCATGCAACACCACCAAGCCATGCCCACAGAACTGGTAGTAAAAAAATTTGAATCCCATCCCTGTCATGTCTCTGTGAAAATGCTGGGGTTCCTCTCTCTGCCCAAGAGAGAATCCCATTCAGTTCTAGTAAAGAAAAAAAAAGGATCCAAATGGAATTTAGTGATGATGGAAATCACTAGAGGGAATTGGCAAGGATTGGTCAGAAAGCTTCAGGGAATGTTCTATCAAATGAGCAAAGGGCATTTTGTTCCTTCCTATTTACAATGAAGGGACAATAATGAATCCAGCACTGCCAAACAAGTTGGACTCCAGGGGGACCAACTGTACTTCTTCACCAGAATTTGCAGTTTACAGAAATGGCTCAGTATCAAGTCCTAAGGACATACTTGGATTGTTATGACATTCACCCAAAGTTCTTTTACAGCTAACAGCTTCCACAGGGGGCAGACAGAAATAGACCCTGGAATGATTCCTTCTTCAATTATCATCATTTAACAAACCAGGATATAACATAAAGAAGCTGAAAAAGAACTAAAGCCAACTCAGATCTTAAGAGCCCCAAGATTTGCTTCAATTTATCTTAGGAGACCAGTAATCAAATTATTCTTTAGCCTTTTCAGTTTCTTGGAAAATTGTAGGTTTAATTAACATGATAATTCTAAAGAAGCCATAAGAGAATTCCACCATCCTTCTCAATGTTTACCTGCTAAAACTGGACTGGGGATGTATTCAGACTTCCAGAATATCATTGTATAGTTTAACTATTATGCTACCCTGAGATCCGCCAATTGAAGCTTGATTCCAAACATACACACTTAGATTAAAAAATCCTAAACTCAAGTTGTTTTGAGTACCAGTGTCAAACTGTATTTTTTTTAACACAAAACTACTCCAATTTATTTTACTAACTTGATTCCCTCCAAATTTATTGAGACTGCAACTCCCAGAATTCCTAATCAGTCTTCTGGGAGTTGCCATCCAACATGTCTGGAAGGCTCCAAGTTGGGGAAGGCACTCCAAAGTCTTCATCATTTTAGTAATGTCACAGGAGGGGTTTGTTTGGAAGGTTTTGTTTTGTGCCTTCAAGACAGTTTTGACTCCTGGCAACTCCCTGGACAAATTCCTGCAGTTTTCTTGACAAGATTTTTTAGAAGTGGTTTGCCATTGCCTCTTCTGTAGGGCTGAGAGAGAGTGGCTGGCCAAAAGTCACTAAGGTGGGACCAGAAATATGATATACTGATTTCTAGCCTGATGTCTTAACCACTACACTAAACTGGCTTTGGAAATGATTATTGTTCTATGTATGAAGTTCCAAAATCCGCATATTCTCTTATTCTGAACACTACACTGGGATTAAGCAGTTCCTGACACTCATTGGTGTCGTGTCATCCCATGTGAGTTGAAAAGTCATTCCATGCTACCTTGAGTTTGAGTAGTATTTCCAAGCCCAGCTGTCCTGAAATCATCTAGGTCCAGATCCTTCTGTGTGTATAGTATATTACATGCTTAGATCTAAGGTGTTGCCAATGGTAAACAACGTCTTGGAGCTGGTGACTTCATGAACATATTCATTTACAGTAATTTTTGACCTGCTCCCCCAGTTCAGCCTACAGCCTCAATATTGCTAGAAGATGTGCTCCATTCAAACATCGATCAAGCCCACTCTGCTTAACTTTTCAAGACCAGCTGAGGTCAACTAAGGGCTGCTAAAGGTAGACCCCCTATTTTAGCTCAACTGTATTATGAAAATTTTATTACAATTCTAATATGTTTTTTAAAGAATTATATAACTCCTCAGAATTTTTGGGAAGACATTGGTAGAGGGCATGCAGTAGTAGTAACTACAGTTCTTGCTTTTTTTAAAAAAACGTAGAAGGATCGTTTGGAGAAACCCTTATTTATGATGAACACAAATACATTTTGTAGAGTCATCTCTTTGTCAGCATGAAAAGGACAGCCAAAGTAATCCCTGCTAAAAAGGGCTCAAGTCAGATTCTTACTGGAAATAAGCCAATTTACTGCTAATCTACCATCATTTATAGGCTGCTGCTTAAAATCTAGTCCTTTTATGACAGATGCAAAAAAAAACTGCCAGCCCCTAGTCACTGTCTAAGTATTGTAATGTTTGCCAAACACGAACCTGTTGTGCTATGTAATTTATTATAATGATGGGCTGAATAATTTCTCTTTAAATTATTGTGTAAATAATATTGATTCCATGAAATCGTCACATTTTATATGAACAATGTAAATTACAAGACTGCTTCTCCAACTGCAGCAATGTTTTATGTATCAAGGTTGGAGGAAGTTATTTTTGATGTAGATTTACTACATGCCATCTTCTAGGACAGTATATTAATTTGTGTTGACTACTGCCTTCCAATGGAAACAGCTGTATTTCTTTATTCGTGTTTTAAAAAAAATAAATACAAAAATCTTTTCTAACCATTCACAAAAAGATGTTATTTCTAAGGTGATCAATTAATGTCAAATACAAGGAGTTTAGTTTCTTTATATTTCTTTTCTGTTGGACAGTGTAGCATAATGGAATTATGCAGAAATGCCTGGATTCACATATATTAGGAGTACTTAATGTAGCCATGGTGTTCCAAACAAACCATAGTTGGCTAGAGCTATCCATGGTCAAATCAAAAACATTTTATGGGATAACAAAGTAGGTGGCTTGGCCTATACTAGACATATAGCTTAGTATAAAATGAAGCATAAACTTAATAAGAGCATTTGTGTAATTTGCATGTATACATATTCATGTTATTCAAGGCGGTAACATTTGAAATATGTCATCTATACATTCAAAGGCTATAGGTTAAACGTCTCGAGGAGAATTCTAGTTTATAAGAAAAATATCACCAATGCTCCAAAATAATCAGGTTACAGATTTTGCCTGCTCTTAAAGATGTTTTTAAACCTAATGCTGAAGATTCATCACCCATTTGCTGTGATAGAGAACTAGATTGAAGTGCTTGTTGTAACATAGACCTGTCTCATGTAAAAAGATTTACCTCTTCAATCACCCTTCAAACAGTTTTCTTATGGGCAGATTTATATAAGCTCAGTCAATTAAAAGTCGTATGTGGAAATCTGAGATCTCTTCTAAGATTTCTAACAGCCTACAAGTGGAATGTGCACTCAGTCACTCATGCCCTAGTAATCTCTGATCTGGATTACTGCAATGCATGCTACATGGGGCTATCCTTGAAAAGTAGCCAGAAGCTACAATTGGTTCAAAACGCATTGCATACAATACCTAGGGTAGCACATGTAACCACACTGTTACATGAGCTGCACTGGTTGCCAATCTGCTTTCAAATCTCATTCAAGCTGTTGGTTATCACCTTTAAAGCCCTTTATGGGATGGGTACAGGATATCTAAGAAACTGTCTTGCCTTAATTGGAGTGGCCTGTCTTACTTGTTCTGGCAGAAGGGGTCTACTGCAGACCCCGTCAGCAAAGGAATTTCAGCTGGCAAGTTCTAGGACAGTGATGGCTAACCTTTTCTGCATCAAGTGCCGAAAACATGCATACTTATTGCATCCATAATGCAATGCATGCATGAACCCC